AACTTGACTTAGTTACTAACTCAACTCAGTTACTAACTTGACTTAGTTACTAACTTGACTCCTAACTCAACTTAGTTACTAACTTGACTCCTAACTCAGCTCAGTTACTAACTTGACTTAGTTACTAACTTGACTTAGTTACTAACTCAACTCAGTTACTAACTCAACTCAGTTACTAACTTGGCTCCTAACTCAACTCAGTTACTAACTTGGCTTCTAACTCAACTCAGTTACTAACTTGACTCCTAACCCAACTCAGTTAATAATTTTAGTTTTTGTGATCAAAATGGAATTCATCAATAAATAGTATCGCCGATATGCACATCGTCGATAGTGACATCGCCGAAATAACACATTGTCGATAGTAACATCGCCGAAAGGATACTTCGCCGAAATGCAGATTATCGAATTTCGGCGATGTTTATTTCGGCGATATGAGTTTCGGCGAAGAGCATACTTACCGTTGAAAACATTTCAACTTTCTTATTCGATTACAAAAGAGGTTGGACATTTTAAAGAAAATCATTTTGAAGAGCTGGATATTCTGCATTTGTTTAGATAAAAAGAGTAAGTTTTTGTAAGACCAAGTACTGGAAAAATTTCTTAAGAAAAGTTGGACTCTTCAGTTAGTGCACGTCTGATTGATATTTTCTATTTGTCAAAGGAGAAATAAATTAGTTGATCCAACTGTACACATCACAATATACACGAAAATATTTTATTTTACAGACTAGAAGAATAGAACTTTTGAAATCAATTTAGCGCAGTAAACATGTTTTATTACATATTTATGATTTTATTACTAAGCAAGTGATTTTTCTATGATATCCAATATTCTTTAGCCTAGAAAATAAAGGTAAATGCTTAATTAAAAAAAGAAGTATACGAATAAAATATGCACAAATTGCTTTATCATTTAGCATCGGAATCAAACTATTCGGATCCAGCGTAACTCAAGCCAAGCAAAAACGGGATATTTAATCTGGTTCATCCAGTATTGATAAGCATAATTGTTGATCTATGTTGACATGAGCTCTAAAGAGGTTGCAGTTTCCTATAGACTGATACCTAACATAACTATAATTAATGTTTTAATTCAGAAGTTTTCCCATATGATGAAAATCACAGAAAACCGCAACTAACCGCCACTCATCACTGTTTATTTCACAGATAGATACCAAATTTTTCAAGTAAGCTTGTGCTAATTAAATATGTTCGATTTCTACAATTGATACATCACTCAGTCGACTCAACACAACCTAATAAAAATTTAGCTTCATATCATCAGATTATAAAACTTGAAATGATGGAATAGAAATAGTGCAGAAAATATATTCCAGTAACCAGTCTCGATCTTTGCTAACCTTCTGGATAGGAAAGAACAAAAAATTGGACATCAGTCAATTTTCAATGATTATATAAATAGATCCTTTGGCAGTGCTCTTACTGCTGTTTCACTGTAATGGTCAGTTTAAGGTGAATATGTAACAAAAAATTTTTATATGACATATTGGATTCATTGCTCTAGCCAACTTCAGATGAATCGCTATGATTCTCGTAATACATACCTGCTAGGTAAAGCTTGTATTTTTGCCTGTATGTTTGGATCATCAGGATCGGCAATCATGAGTGTAAGTAGACGTCTGTCATTCATAGCTAAAACAAGAAACTCATTGTCTGCTACCATGAATGAAACAAAATCATAAACAAATAATTTAGCTAATTGTCGACGATCATTAATACGATACATGAACAAGACCCGAGGTTTGACAAGAGCAAAAACATAACTAGCAGATTCATTTAAACATAATTGTAGACATTCATTTTCTAATTGAATCGGTTCATAACATGTACATGAACGGATGTTGTGTAAGTTAAGTTGAGTATTTCCGTTGTTATATGTTGCAAGACAATCATTTTTCAGACAAAATTTATCGGCTTTATCAAATGGAGTCATTTGAAGAGAGCCTCTATCGATCGATTCTTCTAGGTTTACTTGACACGAAAGAAGATTTTTATCGTCAAAATACATTAATAATAAGTTTTCAGTTCTTTCACTGTCAATAGATTTCAATTGCGATGATAAAAGATAAGGTGAAACATCAACGTCAATATATATAATTCGTTCGATTGTCCAGATTGCCATTGATTGTCCATTATCAGCAAATATTATAAGATTTTCTAATGAATTGAGAGTTACAACTGAACTAAACATTTTTGAACATGGAATTTTCAATTGAATATTAGCTGTCTGGTTAAATTGGATTTCATTTTCAGAAGTAATTTGTTGAGCAATAGAATATGCTAAACCATTGTTTGTTAACACAAAAAACGTACCACTGTGTGTCGAATGAACTCGTGCTGGAGAATGCAATTGAAGATTAAATAAAGTCTCCTTGTTAAGTGATTTAGCTTCATAAATTTCAATCCAACGGTTACTTGTAAGTACAAGTACGAATATAATCTCAGAATCTAATTTGCTAGATGTAATGGCAAAGTCATTGATAGTTATATGATCACGAAAGAGGCGAGTGGATTCAATCGATGCTGCATGTTGATACGTCCATGAGGTGAGTTCACTGAAAGAATATGAACAAAAGATTTTTTTTTTTTCTTCAGTTAGACAGTAATCTTTCCATAGCACCATGAATATAATATACGTCTGTTTATATATCAAAAACATCTATTGAGACTTCTATATTTTAAGAAACTTTGATAAGATCAATTCACTAAAGGTTGAAGACTCGGTTTTTTCAAAGAAAGTACTTCCAGAATTCGTAAAATTCATCTCTTTATAATATATTTTCATTTAAGTAAAATCGAGTAATCTCAATCATGCGAAGTTAGTTGCGTTTGACATGAACTGGCTCTTTTTATAAATATTTTCATATACAATCCTTTTCTTTGGTCTTAGGACAAAACTGAAGAGAAATGTATGAATATTGTCAACTAATGTAATTCATAGCTTATGAAACGTGTCAGAAGTCTATTCATGATGATTCTTCGTTATTATTATTTATTCAATGAAGCCTTTTATCAAACACATATTAGGACATTACACTTCTGTGTATTAATAAGCTAATCGGTTACACTATTTATATTAGTATATTCATAAGAACAAGGATTTTTATATTACTATTTCTAATGCAGGTAAAATACATTTTGGAATAAATTGAACGAAATAGTAATCTTTATAATATACCAAGAGTTTGTAAGTAAACTTTTATCATCATACTTTCGAATTTTGAGTTTTAAAAGTTTAATAGGTAATTGAACTAGACATAAACTTTTCCATCTTTGTACAATCACATGACAAGGATCAGCGATTATTCAAAGAAACATGTTACAATGAAGTACAACAATACCGTTAGTTTTCGCATTTGAGTTATAGTGGTTCACAGTGTGAGTTTGATCATACTGAATAGATTTGATAAAAACATTCTTGCACTTCAATTGGAAGCACAACTGTCCATGAGCTGTTAATTCAGAATAGAAAATAGGACATTAAACTTTGCGTGATTATGCGTTGCTTAGTGACACCATAAGCTTTCTTTCCAATAGTTCACTTCTTCGTGGTTACTCATGTAGCTGATCGATTTTCCGAGAATTTATTCTTTCGACATGTTGTTTCAATAAATGCGACGAAGTTGCGCTTCAAATGGGCCATACTTAGTCATAGGAAATGTTTCTGTGACGATTGATTTGATTAATGAAAAAATTTTCGACTCTCTTTGTTGTGTAGCTGAACGAATTAGAAACCTTATTTGAATTCAGTTAAGGCTAATTCAACAGAAATGTGTGCTGAATAAGAATAAATGAAGGTTCAAAATAATAAAATACTTAGCCATCGTTTTTTTTTAAATGACAGTTTCTTACTTACAAAAGAACATATCACATTAAAAATACTTTATAATATAAAATTTCACCATATCCTTTTGATTGTATAATCATTAGAATAAAATAAACCTTTTTCTTTTTGTAAAGAGTTTTAAAAAAGCTGTTCCTATTTTTGAAATGTGTTAATTTTTATGAATGGCAGAACACCAAATTAATGACAAGAGTATAGAAGTCAGGTGTTGAAAATTTTAGAGTAAAGTTAAAGTTGGAAAGGATCATTGATAAAATTTCTTCGTAGTCTTAACGGATGATTCTTTGTTTGCAAAGTTCATTGTTGATTAAAAATGTTTGTATTTTTTTTCCGAAAAATTATTAATCATAATCTATTCTTTCTCAGTAGAATTGAAATAGAAAACATGCATGGAAATACCTTTTTGAACCATCGAGAGTAACAGCTATTTTTTCAAATAATTTAACAGTTTGTATGACTTCATTTGTACGTGGCAACGATGGCATTTTCTTGAACGCTTCTCTTGCTTGAGTAGAATAGTATGCTTGAATAACTCCATTTCCCAACGAACATAAAAATATGGATGCTATAATAATGGAATAGAAATAAATTGCATCGCTATGATTAATAGATAAAGATTGTGCCTCGCGAAAGCTATATTCATTTCCTCAATCTTTTGCAAATTTCAGTGTCTCAAAAACACTTCGTACGGATACTATAATATTAAAATGTAAAATGTAATAGATCTGATTTAAATGTAAATGAAAATACATATCACATCTATCGTATTCCGTGATACAGTTGAAAAAGAATCAGAAAATATAGGTGTGTGGGTCTTTACTGGAGTGGAAAAACAGTAAGTCTAGATATTTGTCGCGATCTGTGAGACAGATTATGGGCTTAGCCGGTTTTGATTTATACTTATTTCAACAATCATCACTATTCGTGTAGCATAAAATCAATATTGTTTTGTGATCTATTGCCTTCCATTAGATACATGCATGAGCAATTCAAAAAGTCGACTTAGAATAGACGCCGATGATTTACTTTCGTCTAGATTCATTTTGACTTATCTCTATGAATTTTTGTTTTTTGGTTCTATGGCTATTACTTGGGTTTCATTAATCATTTTAGATAAATTGATTTTAAAAAGGGAAGAACTAAGATTTATTGATTTCTGAGATGAAAAATAATTTTGTTTCCATTAATCATAAGTTCTACGAAACCATAAAAAGCCAATGGTCACGTTTTTGAAGTTCTATAATCTGAAGAATATTGATATAGACTCGGAGACTCTGAAAACTTTCTCTACTCACAGAGTTTTGATGATGTTCTACCTCTTTTCTTACAGCTTTTCGCAACTCATGTATTGTTTCTAATATTTGAAAAATTTTCCTCAAAGATTGCTTTCAAAAAGAAAATTTATGTAATAGAGAAAGAAAATTAACTTTTTTATTTTGTTTATCTATGAAGATTTCTAGTGGACTCTACTAACAATCATCTTCTTCTATAGATTAGAATTCATTAAGAATCAAATCAATCTCTACATGACTTAAAGCTTTTGTTCCAAGTTATTTGTAATTCTAAAAATTATTATTCTCTAGTTTATCTGATAACCTAGCAAATCTAATTAAACAAATCAGTATTCATTGTTTCTTCGGGTACTCAAATTCTTCAAAACAACGAGCTAATTGAAAATGACTTTAATGATCAATGTTATTTTTAGAAACAGACTTTAAACTGACCGTTTTCAGACGAAGCTGTAATTGTAGTTACAGGTGACGAACTAATATCGATGGAGACATAGAGTTGATATTTGTGGAAAATTTTATGATTGCCTTCTTTATCATCTTCACCCTCAATACATGCCCATTTATATACTTCGAGGATGCCTCCACGAGCTGTATATATTGTATTTGGATTGCTTGCATGCATAGACACAACATCAAATCGACCATTAATGCACACGTAGGATAAGTCTTTACTAATGCATTTATGAATAATATACGCATCAGTGGTAGTCTTAGCTATAAATAGTGGAAAATTTGACTTTTTCTTTCCGCTCATTGATTCTTTGTGAGGTAATATGATGGATTTGATTGGTTTAGGTCCAATCGGAGGATCGAAAGCGAATAATGTTTTAGGTATTTGGTTGTCGCATATGATTTGTTCATTTTTATTGAATTGTTTTAAATCAATGATGGCAAAATCGATAGGAATAGTTGTATCAAATGTGACAATTAATATTCGCTCATCGACAGTAACTAAATCGAGATGAATACCAGCTTGAATGGTACCACGATGAACCAATGATGATTTGGTCCAATCAGTAATCGAATGAAAATGAATAGTTCCATCTTGAAGAACTGTAACAATCATCGAATAGATGTTAACACAAAGAACCTTTTTAATTTTAGATGATGGAAAATTAATTCGATCGAACAATCGATTTTTTACAACATCCCAACATTCAACACAATTTCCATTGATTTCTGCCATGACAAAAAGACCACGTTTCTTATGAAAAACTTCAACATTCAAATAGCCAACTTGAGATGATCGTTCAAATTTAATATTTTCATGAGCAGACACAAGATAGATATGATGTAGTGAATTGACAAGAAATAAGTATTTCTTGAATTGATCATTGTCATCTGTTGAAGAGGAACCATTTTTTGTTTGATCATTTTCATTGAAATTATATGCTTCTGGTAGTGTGGTTGAATTCAAATACGGTTCATCCAATGTCGGTAAATTGATATCCAACACTGTACTTGCTGCATTCATATCAATTACGACGATTCTATCAGATAGAGATATAGCTACTCTTTGATCTTCAGTAAAATCGAAATCGACTATGGATGTTGTATGTCGAGCAACTGAAAAGAGTAAACCACTACCTGGAGGTTGAAGTTGACAATAAGGAACAATCAGAGAACAATAACGTATACTTTGTTCATCAAATTGTTTTATTAGATTGGTGATATATGGTTTGATACCAAACAGATTTAGAAGACGTGAAGAAATTTCAAAGGGATAATTATTCGGATATTCTTGAAGTTGAGGGCCGACAATCAAATATAACATAGCGAATATATCGATTTCTTTCTTTATTTCTTTAGCTTGTTGAGAAATTTGATATGTTGAGTTGTTCTTGAATGCTTGCAAATCGTTCATAATGTCATTGAAAGGTGAACATGCAATTTTAGCACCTAAATAGATCAAAATATATATATATATATCGATGTGAGACAATCATTTTTATTCGAACAACGAATAGAAAACTTTACGCATGAATGAATAGTTGAAAAAGACTTCTTCAGCAGCGATTGGAATGGCTAAATCGGTTGTAAATTGAGTTAAAAATTGTGGCAATTCATTCAACTTTCTTTTGTTGTATTGTATATGACCATCTACATCAACGAATTCAATTGGTTGCGAAGTTGTCAATCGATTTGCTTGTATTTCACCATTCGATTCCGTCAAATGATATTTTTCCATTAACTTCGGATCTTCTATTTTGAATGGCTTATTTTTACCTTTCCATGTTTCCTTGTATAAATCAATTAAATTTTGAAAGACAGCTTTTCTTTCTTGAGAATCCATTTTTGAAATAAATTGAGCTTGTGCAACTTCAATAAATCGACGATGATACCTAACGTATAGAAATGTGTATCGTGATATAAAATGAAGAAAATATCCATCTTTTTGTTTCAAATAGTTGAATGAACTCAAATTTTTAACAGTAAAGTTGAAATAGTATTTAGAAACGTTAATTGTACAGAGAAAAGAATCTTGAGTAGACAAATATTCGATGCTAAATTTACAAGATCGTCATCTAAAGCATCTTGGACTTGTTCGAATCACTAATCAAACATTGTTTTAAATCGTTTCCAATACATGATAAACTATCAAGAATAGTCTGTTGATATTTCTCTAACATTTTATGATGGATCGAAAATGTTAGTTTGAGGCTGTGAAATATAATTATCACTGCATGCATTGAAAGTCAATTCAAATTCTATGGATTACAAATGTCTGAAGTTCAAAAAACTACCAAGTCTCAAATATGAATTAATAGTAAAAACCAAAAAAAAACCACAATTCGAAATTCTGTTTTATCTTTGTCAAAGTTCAAGAATGTATCTTTATCGTTATATATTTCAACATTCTCTATCAACTTATTTATTGATTGTTGAACTTTGTCGAGAATTTCTATATGCAAACAATCAGAACATCATTGTCAATATCCATAAATGAGAACTCTAAAGATTATTGATGGAAACCACGTAATAAAATTTGAAAACTCATTATAGCCCTATCAAAACTCATGGTTTTGTTTTACAGTCAAATTACGTGATGATCTATCAGTAGTGTATGATTCGATCGTTTACTCAGAATCAGTTTGAATCAACGTAGATTTGTGTTTCCATACCGAATGTTATGATGTTTATGAAATATTGCCCAATCAGTTCTATATATGTTCCTTAATATTTCATGAAAAGCTTCCATCAATAGTAGGTCGTAGACTGATATATGTTGATTAAGCTCAGTGGCTGCTATTTCAAGAACGAATATGACTAGAGGTGTAAGCCGATGAGCTGACCGGCGGCGGCGCCATTAAAAAAATTTTTTTTTTCAAAAGCTCGGCGGCGCAGATCTGAATTACTGGGGCTGCACGGCGGCGGCGGCTCGAAAGTCATTTTTTTCCTACTGCCGACGGCGGCGGCGGCTTAAAGTCCTTCGTCGTTCGGCGGCGGCGGCTAGAGGTTTAGAAAAACTACTATAGCAGTCTATGGGAAAGTTTTTGGGCAACATATTTGCTCATTTTTGACTCTTCTAAAAGTATTTTAGTCGAGTGAACAACTACTGCTAAGGACCAGAATTTTGTGCTCTTTCCAAATATGGGCTGAATTGGTGTACCTATTCTCGCTCGAGAGCAGTGAGGAGACCTTTCAAAGGTCTAAAAAAACAGTTTGGACGGAAAATTTCTTCGCACATCTTCAGATGCTTGCTACTGATATTCAAAACTAAATGCTGAATCTTTTGTTCACATGTCAGCTTGAACAAAGTTTGTTCTACAAAATATGACATTTGAGTTAATTTTTTTCTGACAAAATACTTACATTGTTGTTCAATTGCATTTTCGAAAAATCAATTTTTTCATCAGAATTCGATTCTGACAGATGTAGTTCTTGCAAAAACAGTCATATTTTTATATGCGTAAAGGGTACATTTTAGTTCGCCATAACATTTTATAAAGAATTATTCGTCCTACAACATTTGCAAGTTGAACCATTTTTAGCGCTTTTCTAAAGAAACATACGAAGGTCACAAAAGCTTTTTTATTTGCCACTGACATAACTTTTTCAGAACATTCAAAGACCTCCTCACTACTCTATGACAAGAACAGATACACAATCCCTCAGACTATATTCGGATAGAGCACGGAATTCTAGTCCTAATCTAAAGTTTTTCATTCACCTAGAACACTTAAGCCAATAAAATATGAACAAAATATTGTCGAGAAACTTTTGAATAATTGATGTGTCCAAACTGTGTTTTTAGACCTTTCAGAGATCTCCTTACTTATTCTGGAGCAACAATAGGTACACAATTTATGAGCCTATATCTGGAAAGACCACATCATTCTGGTCCTAATAACTCTTTTTTCACTCGACTAGAATACTTTTATAAGAGAAAAAAATGAACAAATACTTTGTCCAAAAACGTTTTCGTAGACCGTTAAATGATTTTTCACATTTCCTGTACCACTTATATTGCTATAAATACCAATAAGATTTTTAATTGAAAAAAGTAATATCAGCTTGATCGTTTTTCAATTTGTGAAACCAAATTTTGCAATAAACATGTTAATTATCGGCTAACTAATTCGGTTTTTTTGTACAAATAACCGAAATGATTCCGGACGAACGATGGTTTTGGTAGATTAGGTAGGTTCATCTCGATAAAAAAGTTTTTGTTTACACAATATATATTTGTCATTTCAACTGCAAGATGAACCTAAAAATGAACAAAACAAACAGAATTATTTATTTATCAATAAACAGCACCTACAAATTTCTGAAAATTGAAAAAGCAACACCAAAAATAATGATAAATAAAAATTACCAAAATCATCAATACATAGTAAAACCATCAAACTTTGAGTAGGAAATATAACTTGAATTGCTACTGAATAAAACAGAATCACTAGGATTATTAATAAGTGAAAAAAATAATACAACCACTGAGAATACAAATAAATGAAAAATAAATATAACCACCAGGATAAATAGTAGACGAAAAACCGTCACCGAGTTTGTTAATAAGTAGAACGATGTAGCACACACAAGTCTGTTGCTTGATTTTGTTTTTGTTAATCGAAACTTATAATACTGGTCTTTACTTATATATAATGTTATAATATTAACAAGTGAAATGATTACTTGAAACTTTTAACCCATACAAAATTAAGGAAAAAATGATTAAAAAGTTGTCGATGTTTATGAACGGTGTCGGCGGCGGCGGCTCAAAAATTTGAAAATTCTGAATCCCTCGGTGGCGCGGCGGCTGGAACTAAAGTGTCTCAGCGGCGGCGGCTTATAAATTTTTAAAATTTCGACTGTCACGGCGGCGGCGGCTTAAAATTTTTCTCGTTAGTCGGCGGCGGCGGCGGCTCAGCCGCACGGCTTACACCTCTAAATATGACTATATTCAAGCCTTCGATATGGAGTATTGTATAGAGCCCCGAACTTTTCGTCTTAGAAAACGAATTCTCGTTAATCAAAACTATTTCAGGGTGAACTGTTCGGTCATTTACCATCGTCAGATCATCACGTAACTTGACTGAAAAAAACCTATGAATTTTCAATTTTTATTATACGGTTCGCATCAATACTCTTTAGAGTTCTCTTTGGTCGAATTTTAGAATGATGCCTTGATTCTTTGTTAATCGAATTGTTTTGACAAAGTTTATCCACCGAGAATCAGATATTGTCCGACTTGTTACAACTGTCAATCATGGTTGTTCTCAAAGATACCTTTTTTTTCTCTTCAAAACTTTTCAGATACTTTATAGGGAAAAAAGTCTACCCAAGCATAGACAACAATTAGTTTAGCTACTATTAATTTGGCTTCACAACAGCAGATACACTGACAAAATCTGTATATTTTGTGGACTGATTTCAAACCACCGATGTCAAATGAAAATAAATGATTGAATGAAAAAGATGATCAAAATAATTAATTTTCGTCAGTTTTTGATGCTGTAATTTCTGACATATACTAAAGTAAAATTTTTGAAAGCATTTTTAATACAAGTCGAATCAACGGCATATTTCAGCAGCTAAATAGAAGATATAGGGAATTTTTGATTGAGAGGTTTAAGACATTTTGGATTCATATGTACATATAAAAAGCCTAAAGGATCAATTTCAGGATTACCTCAACTCCTCCCCAATAGTCTATCATTTACTTTCTTAAACTCAATTAAATCTTAACATAGAAATATGTTAAATCATACCAATAGATCACTGATGAATCATCAACTTCTTTTTCTGTGATATATTCATCTAAATCATTTCTAATTCTTGTCCATAAAATGCCAGGTAATCGTCTTACAGGTGGTATATAATGTTGAAAAACACTTTTAAGAACATCATCATCAAGTGAAAGCACATCTTCGAGTTCATTTTGACTAATGCCACTTCGGCATGCCGTCATATAACATATAGCACGATGGAATAAAATAGGATTATGAACAGTTTTTAGATGATTAAAAAGATAACGAATACAATCATCGACTGACTTTAATTTTCGTAGTTCAAAATCTATAAAGTCATATGAATGCCAAGTTAAAATAATATCAAAAACGAGTTTCATAAATAGAGGAAGAATTTCAGTTCGTTCTGCCATTAAATTTTGAATAAACGAACGTTGTTCATTGCTCAATGAACGTTGCTTCATTGCAAGCCAATCATTATAAACTATTTCTACTGTAGATGCTTGAAAAGGTGATACTAAGACAAGTAAATGTTCAGTATCTTTCGGCATAGATGGATTATGATTGATAATCATTTGTAAATTTGATAAAATATTACCATGATCCGGTAATGTTGATACGATACATTTAACATTCTTTGGAAATAATCCAGGCAACCATTGACAATCATATCCATCTGTTTGTAGTTGATCGATTGAATCGAGTAAAATAATAAGATATTCATTATCAGGTATTTGCATAAATAGACTAGTTTCTAATTGATAACGTAATTTTATAACATCAGGATAAATTTCCATCGGTAGATGGTATAATGCACAAATGTGTTTTGATATCGACAGCATAGTTTTGTAGATTGTTGATGAAGGAGGCGTTGTTCTAAATACATTAAAAAGTCAAAATTCAAATGTTGAACAAAGACATAAATGAAAGATAATTTAAATCTAACGTTTTAACCTACCCAAGAAAACGTAAAATGACTGAAACAGATCGATCGGACCACCATTTCAATGCCTAAGTATTCATGAAATAAAGCAAAAGAACTATTCGCTTTTTGATTGTAAATTATAAGCTAAATACTTACTTCAGTAGCAGCTTTAGCCAATACACTTGTTTTTCCACAACCAGAAGCTCCATAGACAATGCATGGTCGATTTTCATTGTCATTTTTGATATAATCTTTTAACTTATGACGAAAATAAAACCATAGTGTGTTTAAAACAAAACAATAGAAATCTGTAGAAAAGCTCTTACTTTATTTAAAACATCAGTTCGACCATGAAATTTAGCCACGTACGTTTTGCATTGTATAGCATGTTCTAATATTTCATGTTGCAATGGATCGGAAACCATCATGACACGAGATTTGGCACAATCATCAACTTGTTGTTTGATGGCATTGTAGAAGTCCTCATTGAATTGTGATATGTATTCGACATGGTCACGTCGATTTATACCATCTGATTTCCAACGTACTTTGTATGAAAATATGTTATTCGGTTGTAATATTTTCGGAATACGTTTATTCTTTAAACGATTAAGTAATTGTTCAGCTTCATTATCTACAATCGGTTCTCCATCATTCAAATATTGTAAATCAACAAATTTTGATGCTTTACGATCTGATAAATGATCATGAATATTTTCAATTTCACGTAAAAAACACAATGTACGTTGGTTAGCATCCGATGCTGATAGAATGCCTTTTACGATTTCTTTTTCTGTAACTATAATTGTTAAATAAAAGCAAAAGTTCGAATTAATGCAATAATAAATACAAAAATCGTATCTACCTGATATGAAAAAATCATCATATTCATTCTCATTAATTTGTCCTTGTTCTAAACATTTGGCTGCTGTTTGTCGAAAACATGTTCGAATACGATCATTAATTTGTTGCCATTCTTTATCAGCTTGTTTCATCTCTTCTGTATTCTAAAAATAAGAATGTTTGCAGCAATTATTGACTGTAGTTCAAGTTCATTTTATACTCGAGACTTGATGTTTGGTAGTTTCGTCGATATAGGACGAAGTATATACGCAGCCGGTACACTATTCGTATCAAGTTGATACCATTCTGAAAGTAATTCAGCATCAGCGTTCAGGTTTGGATCCGAACGAATGATCTCAAGCAACTCTTCAAAAAGTGATGCACGAATCATGGCTGGTGTTGGTCGTGACCCATAACGGTGGCTTAAGAGAACCTATTTATACATCCAAGAATATGAAAGATTACGATTTTTAAGATTATACAACAATATGAAACGTTACGGACACGTGTGTGTATAAACACTAATAAATTATTTTTCAAGTTTCAACAAATCATGACACATGACTCGTACGTGTATCACAACATGATGAAACAATATGAACTATATTATTCCATATTTTTGTACTTGAAACATCATGACAAATACTACATCATTTTGTCATGATAAATCAAAATTGGATACAAAGTGCAAACGAAATATTTCGTTTGTCTAAAGTGTGAGTGATTGTTTTGTTTCAACACATGTATTCGTAACATGTCATATTATCATGAAATGTTGCTGAAAAATTATCTGACCACAAAATTTGTAGCCACTGAGTATTTTTTGCACAGTTCTATTTCATTGAGACATGTTTGAACTTCGCTATGATTATCGAATGATTCTGTTTCAATGCCCCATCGCATATCAGAATACTAAAATGAAAATTCAAATATTGATACAACACAATGAACCAAAAAAAAACATTTCTACAAACTTGAAATTCGAGACCATATTTTTCACGACAATAATCTTTTAATCTAGGAAATACACTTTCGATCAATGAGTCTCGTTCGCATAACGTATCTAAATATCAAAACATACTATGTTTTTCATACTAATTAGTTAGATTCAAATAAGACTCCTCACCTGAAAATGTCGAACTAAGAAAGATACGAACTATTTTCGATCGAACATTTGGAAGTTCTTGACACCGTCCACGTAAAACATCCAAATGATGAGAAGATTGCATGACTGAACGAACAACAATAGATACTGTAAGATTTGTTTATAATGATGAGCTGATTATATATACTTGTCGAACTGACAAGTTAAACATGTAGACATTCCATATGCATTTACCGTGGAGAAACCTTAACCAAGATGTATGATTCACGGTTACGGCGAGAGAAGGGTGAAAAATTTTAGCAGAACAGATGAATGCGTGCAATGCATCAATGCAGACATACACAAATTCCATAAATGAACATTGAAGATTTCGTTTGATACAGGGTGTCTCATAAGTTGTGGCAGATTTTTTTAAATCTAATTTTTGATGATAATGAATACAAATCAAACTCAAACTTACACGTATCATACAACTTAACATGTACTTTTATTTCATATATTTTATTTGAATTTAATCATTGGATATACAAAAAAATAAAGAAATTGGTACATGTGCAAAATAAGCACACCATCAATGTGTTACAATATATATACCCCGACAAAAGTTTCACTCTGTATTTCTCATATATTGTCACTATAAAAATAAGTTATTTTAAAACTAATTACATATTCTGAAAGCTCGCGGAGTTTTCTATCATTCTGTAGAATTAGGTTTTAGTTTTGACCTTTTCATTACCAAAATAAATTGAAGACAACGAAGGCACCCTCATGTCCAGATTCCCAGACTTGATCTTTCCTTCGTCATCAAAACTAGTTTTAAAAATTTTTCATCCGTATAGAATGATCTGTATGAAAAAGTAACTATAGATTCTGATAGAGCTTAAAATTCTCTATCACCCTGTCTATTTACTTATTTTCTTGCGTTTATAGATTGAAATAAAATTGAATACAATGAATATACTCCGAATCGACTAGCCCAAAAAATTTGCATTTTTTTTCGCTACTTAAATTTAAGACACTGTATTAATACATAATATCATAGAGCATTTCAAGTGCTATCAGAATGTGTGATTTCTTTTGTAAAAACTTACTCCCATAGGAATAGTAATTGGAGAAAAAACTAACAAAGTAGCGAAACAATGCAGACTTTTGATATTTGTCAATGGAGGGTATGTTCATTGAATTTGTTTATTTTCTTGTATATTCAATGATCTAATCCAAATAAAATATATGAAATAAAAGTACATGCTAAGCCGTGTCATATGTATAAGTTTTAGTTTAATTTGTATTCATTATCATCAAAAATTAGATTTAAAAAAATCTGCCACAACTTATGAGACACCCTGTATGAAAATAAATTCACAAAACACATCGAATATGTTTCTAATATACTTAAGAAAACGATTGATTGAATGGACATTAGAATATAGTATACGAACGGCAGTACATACTATGTAACCAAATGATTGCAAGAATCATATCCCAGTGGCATTCATTTATTTTGCGCTGATGATCATATCCGAATTCACAATAAATTGTCGACTGTTTTATATATCTAACGGAAGTTAATACTACTGATTTTGAAGTAAAATTATCCTCATCGAAAGATATATTACATACAAAAAAGCAGCTCATTTAAACTACCTTCTCATTTTTCTCATGAATTCTCTGTATCGGGAAAAAAACAGCTTGGTGATATAAAAAAGTTCTCTAGTACGTCGTCATATTCAAAGCATGAATAAATCTAACATGATCCAACATTACTCTCATCTTTACATTGTTAGGTTTTTTAGTCTACGACAGTAGTATCTCTATGATATTATTTTTTTGTTGGCATCGTCAACGCTCGTCAAATGGTGGTGAAATACCGAGTGACCAATAATGAATGGCCTCGTTTTGCATTTCATATCTTCATCTTTAAATAAGTATCATCAAAATACAAAATATACCACAAGATACAGCGTGAAAAGCTTTACAATTTACGTACGACTGCTTTTCGTACAGTTGCACTTTTTTGCTTTCAAAATCAGCAAAATTCGGAGCGATCAAATTTCGACCATGCGAAAATGACATTTTTTTTGCACAAGATGAATTCATGTTTTTCTTGTTTCATCTTTTTATCACTTGATATCTTTTATTTAACAAAAAATAAAATATACCGACAGATGTAGCCTGAACAACTCTACAATTTACACAATAAAGCTTACTGTAACTATTTTCAAAAACAGCAAAATTCTCTCGATCAATTTTCGGACGGTCGAAATTTGATCCTTCCGAATTTTTCTGATTTTGAAAGCAAAAAAGTGCAACTGTACGAAAAGCAGTCATATGTAAATTGTAGAGCTTTTCATACTGCATCTTATGGTATATTTTGTTTTTTGATGATACTTATTTAGAGATGAAGATATGAAATGCAAAGTGTGGCTATTCATTATTGATCACCCCATTTATAGTCCAACCAGCACGATGTTTATTTCACAAGTATTTCAACACGTTCATCGTTCTTTTTAGAGAAAACTAGTAACAATGTCTAGGAATAAGCCGCATAAAAGAATGAGTATAATGAGTATCCGTCCCTTCTACCCATAAGATACTATGTATTCCTCGAGATTAAATTCTGAAAATATGTATTAGAGCAAAGAAGCAATGGCAGATTAACACAAATAGATAGGTTCGACATAGCATTGTCTGATAACTACGATATCCTAAATCTCTCACAGTATCCTAGTTGCAGACTTCTTGGTGCCGTTTTACAAAAGTCATCAAGTTCAATATTCTATTTTTTTGTCATACAAAAATGTGATCGGATATGCTTTCTTTGTCAGCATATTGCTACAAATAGAAGTTGGCTGAAAGAATATCCTATTTACGCTCCATATGAGTTTGAAACCTATTTGTATATAAAATTTTAGATTGATAGTTATTTTAACGCCATCTCATCCAATTATGGTAAAGCCGAGATTATCATGCGATAGTCAGTTGTAAAACAATAAAAAGGCTAAGAGATAAATAGATTTAAGAGAATATTAGAAATTGAAAACCATAACAGTGAAAAGTTTGTTTTTATAATGGTGGGTCATTCAATGTACCAAGTGTCTTTTGAAATGCGACACATGGATCGATCGTGCTTACTTAGTTATCTCAGTGATAAAAGAGTATGTCAGACATAATAAACGACTACTTCTCTTTTTCGAAATACATTATTATACATAGTCTAAAAGTAATTTATTCTTGTGCAACAATTATCTTCTTGTGAGATAATCACGATTCTGTTCTGTCTGAGCTACTTTGGTCTAATATTTCTGCATTGTATCACCAGCTCAATTTAATGAGATAAACAAGTTGTTCTGTATAGTTGATATAGACAATGTATCAAATATGTAGAGGCATTCACCGTGCTAGTCTATTGTCTGCGAATTTAATTTGTTCATTTAACAAGTCTAAGAAAAAGTCTCATACCAAGTGTTGACAAACTGAAAATGACTTTTTTTGTATTTTTATGCTTAATTATCCGACGTTTGATGTTCAACCGATCGACAGTTTTAGAGAAATTTGTGTACCTTTCTTCAAAAAATGATATCCAAGATTTAGACTTGTAATTTTTCCCGACAATGCAAAGCGACCCTACACCAATCTCGACTAGAGTTCACAAGTAGAAAGAAACAGCAAATCCTGTACAATGTATCTCCGTTTTATATGGCAATTACCTGTCCGCATGGAAAATCACGGATATAATGTACAGGCTATGGATGGCATGTGATCCGGTAGAACATAGTATGAAATATACTGCTAATTAAAGTCAATCACAGATTCTGTAATGAAGTCATTTCGAGTAACAAGTCATTGAAAGTCAAATTATTATAGTAATATATTATCTTGAACCTGTGAGGATGAGTTTAAATGAATAGATTCAATGTCAATACTCATCTTGCTGAACAGTTAGTTAGAAGATTCACAGAAGTATTATCTCATGTGAAAGCATCTTCAAAACTATAATATGGACAATAAATTTTTAACGAAATCAGCTATATTTTTTTCAAAATTAAATAAGTGTTACAATGACAAGTATCAAGTTCATTAGGATTCTTTCGTATTGTGTCTTGAAAAGCTGCTCAAAATTATGCAAGAATCAGTTCAATGTCATCTTGAACTCGTCCATTCTTTTTCAAGACTTGTATCACGATCGATTTAGATACACTACGAACGACTGCTGTCGACATATCTGCTATCTGTTCGATTGTTATTTGCGTGTTGCGATAAAAATCATACAGTTTGGATTGAACTTCAACAAAGTCCGTTTTCATTAACTGCAGCGAACATCGATCCAACGAATCACGATCATTACATTCGGCAGATGATCGCATGTGAAACGGGAATAGTGAAATGAAGTATTTCTTCTGGTGTTAGTAATGAAATCGATCAAGTACATTGATATAACATTGCATCATTCGATCGTCACCTGTTGACACCTCAGTGTTGACAGCAAGAATTTGAAGTATAGGAATATCTCCAGATTGAAGTTCACGTGCTCATTGTTCGATGGAAATATTGAAATCGAGTTTCGCTTGATGTTGAAATCGTTCAAATTCTTGTCCATATACAAAGTGAGCAAAACAATGATCTTTTATATCGTATGGTTTACATGAAAGCCAATGCAATGCAGAAGATGAGTAACCGATTGATAGCGAATTTGATGATAGATATGGCTCATAAAATGATCGATCACTGGCTACACCATAGTAGGACTTCTCTTGATTGAGTAATTGGAAAAGAATTGTCCAATTGTTCGTCGGTAAATCATTGTGAATAACAAGAATAGATAAATCATGATGAATTTTCTTGGTGTCTTTCAAAACTTGAATAATTGTTTTCATAGCATGAATGGTGATGCCATTTGATCAATAAATTAAAGATAGTAAGGAATGAAAATTTTTGCTTCAATTGAAGATTTGTTATTATACACAGCCCTTTCTACTCAAATATCACTTATCAACGAAGTGTGTCACAAGACAACAGATTTCTTATTGTGATGTTTATGCTTATCAAGACTGAGTGTCTTTTTTTCCTTAACTCTCTTTTATATAGCTTGGACAAGACCGATAATTAACATGTCGTTCTTTTCTC